TAACCCGGCGGAATATTGAATGGCTATATGTTCCTTATATGTATGTATAATATTTGCCTTGTCACTGCTGAAACGATGTTCGATCGAGCTACACCCCCCTTCAATTTGTGGTGCGGTCTCGATATTTTTTAAAACAATTTGTTTAAGCCTTCTCCGAACGGTCAATGGATTTTAATGTCGTAAACTACCAGAGACTGACAATTTATTTACAGAAGAATGATATTTGGTAGATAATTATTTTATTAATTTATTATTATCTTGCTCAGAAATGTTGACAAACAGAGTCAATTTCTAGCGGCAGTGGTAAAATAGTCTGCTATTTCTTTCGTCGTTTCTGGCAGTTCACATGCTGTCCGCAATCGATTCTTCTCGTTATTTGACGTTCGCCGATCTCGAACGATCTCGATAAGGATGACGAGTATACCGCCACAGTATCGTCTGACGATACTGTTGACAGCAATGACGATATTCAACATAAGGCAAAATAATAACAAGATCATTTCATTCATATAGATTTATACAAATAGACATAAGTAAGTAGATATTCAAATATTTGTGAAAAATCATGGAATGAGTTTCGTTTATGTATGTGTTAAAAAAAAATATTTTTTGCGTAGCATAATACGATATAAATAAACATACTATATATGAAAGTATGTAGAGAATTTTATGGAATAGAGTTTATGTGTCCATGACCCTCTGAGTGGCGCGACAAACCTTGTACTTGACCATATGACTTATGTACTCTGCTTCAATGAACTGAGTTTCCAGTCGTTCCAAAGCTTTTATGTTTAACGAACAAGTAAAGAGAATTTGCAGAAATGTAAAAACTTTGTGATGCGCATGCCCAATCATTAGAAATACATATGTAGGCATTAAGGGCGGAATATTTTCAAGGTTCGGATGACATTCAAAGCACCGGTAATTTGTAACTACTTACATATATTTATATGTAAACATTCATTTTGTTGGTACGTGTGTGTAATTGAATATTTGTAAGGATATAACGGGAGAAAAAAATTTAACAAAATGCTATTGACATTGACATTGATGTAGCTTTATGCCATGTGTATGTACTCCTATGTGCACATAATCAACCAATTAACTGGAGTGTTAAAAGACAGTAGTAAAAAACTTAATAAATTTAGTTAGCGCAATCTTACTGAATATTTTCTCTAAAATACATACATATGTATGTACCATAAATATACACCAATTGTGTGTCTTGATGTTTTTCCATTAAATGGGTGGGCACAATTTATACTTCACCTCTAAAGGCTGATGAATTTTTTATGAGGAACTTCATGTCTAAAACACCCTGCCCAGGGCGACTTAAATTGGAAAAGTTAATTTTTTTTAATTAATATTATACTGTGGATTAGGATATATGTAATTTCTTGCGTGGATATATTTATGTATATGGTGTCAAACTTCAAGGAAGGGCGAGAAAAAATGATTTGGCCATATTTGACCTCCCGTCTATCCGTGCAGTGGATGAGTTTCCAAACCCACATGCCAGTAAAGTAAAGTACGGTTTTCACTAAAAGATATTGTCGGCAAGTCGGTTGACTACTAAAGCAAATTGAGAATCATTCGTCCTGCGTGGTCATACATAAGCGCGTCGAATTGTGGACCTTCTTTTGTTGGATTAAAAATACCAGTATATCCAAATATGCTATAACCTTTGACATATGCAAATATTCAATGCACATAATCCGGATCGAACAAGTGTCGGCCACTAATTGAAACAATTTATAAGGCATTAACAACAGACTGTCAATAATAACACACAGTCAAAACTGCAACATTATGCCAGTCCTTTGATGGGTGGCGTCTTTGCTTTCGACCAGTCTCTAAATTGTCCGAGATAAGGCATCATTTCAACACGAGAAGGTAAAATATATGTTTGAAGAGACATGGTGCCTTCAAAGCTCTATGAAGCTTTCGTTTTATTAGCTAAGACACCTAGCTCTGAAGTGTAAAATGCAATGTCGCAGACAAAATTGAAACAAACAAAAAAATGCGCTCTATTACTTTTAAACTATAAATATAAAGTAAACTCAATAATGAATAATAATAGTAGCAATGTAAATAAGAACATATACATATGAGCGTATATACATATTTGTACTTACTCGGATATACATATGCGTAAGTATATATATGTACACATGTTGTACAATTGGGAATTATTTATTAATTTTCATCAGATATTTTTAAGGAAAAAGTTACGAAAACTAAATCTATAAACTTTTTGATAATTATTTTTTTGCTAATAAATGCTACTTTTAAGTATTTAAATACTCAATTTACTATGTCAGCACCAATTTATCAATCTTGTGTAGTACTCGTACTCGTTTTGCTCCGATTTCTGTATGCACCACTAATCGAGGTGAGTTACCCATTCAAAGCTCATTCAAAGCCACTTCTTTAACTTTCCAAGTGCTACGAGTAATATTAAAATTCTCTCTACACTTTATCTTTTGCCCGGTTTAGCTAGTAGACAGACGGACGATTGACACTAAGTGGTGTAGATGTTGAATTCGATCTAATAAACTTAGTACGCAGAAATAACAAAAAAGTACATAATAGAAAGTCAGTATTTAATAGAAGAATAATTGGAACTAATTTTAACGATCCCCATTTAAGAAACAAAATTGGTGATTTGTAATACGAATACATAAAATGTTGGTCATAACAGATCGTTGATATGCGTTCAGACGGTTCATTGGCGATATCAGTTAAAGAGAAAAAGTGGTTACGACAGTCATTGTGTTCACACTCTCTATTTGACAATTAGCGTAGTTCGAAGTATCACTTAAAGGCATATATTTGTGTAAAGCTACAATTGTGTTTGTACGAGACGAAACGAAAAGCGATCGTGCAGAGTTATATAGTTTAATAAAATGAAAATAGAATCAAAGATGGCCGCCAAAATATCAATCAAGTTATGAAAATCTTACGAAAAACAAAAGATAATACACTGTTAGATTTGCGAATACAAAAGCATAAAAAATCAGAGAACCACAAATTTACAAATATTTTAGAAAAACTCGCTCTTCCACAAACACGATAAAAACGAAAACGAAAGCACTACCTCTATCTAGCAAAGCAATCGGCAACAGTAACTTTCAAGTAATCAGCTGCTGAAGTACACGTGTTTGTATATGTGTTAGTAGTGCCTACGAGTACGTTTACTAATATTTTACATTGCGGAGCATTGTGATAAACAAGTGTTCAACAAGACATTCAAGTTGATTTTATTGGCTTTAATTGTTGATTGTCAACGGCTGTGTTTGAAGCTCTGCTTAATTAAGTGGCCAAACAAATTACGAATAAGAGAGACAAGAATAAAATGAAAACTACTATATTGCACAACATTAAATGCTTTCTGATCAAAGCCCACCAACTCACCACAAACTTGCCTGCAGTCAATATACATACTTTCTTTAAACACCGAATGTAGCTTCAATTTTTCTACTTACCTCAAGTTCAACCGGCCTGAAATTTGCGTAAAATTTTTATTATGGCTGAATCAGGCATAAACATGGATTTTGATCTTGAATATTTTCCTATTGAAGACTTGGATTTACTTTCTACTGAGATCCAAGTCGCTGGAAGGTCGGATAATGTAGAATTTTATGAATTGAAATCTGCGACTCATTCTGTGCGATCTGATGATATGTAAGACTTTTTTTTATCAATATGTGTAATGAAATTTTAATATTCTTCGTAGATAAGTAGTTTTAATATTTAATATTATATATAAGTCTATGTTTTTATACAACTAATATAATTATTAGTCCCGTATTTTGTCCATCCTGAGAAATTCCTTAATTCAATTGTTACATAATTTCCCTTATTCATTTAGTTTCTTAAAACTCGAACGAAAAAACTGAACTATGAAAAGTTACTGTGTAACTGTGTAAAACAAACGAATTCGTCGGGCTTATATTTCACATACATACTATACCATTTTAACATATAAAGTTTAAGCGAAGTGTTAAATAATTAATTTTATATCTTCAAAATTGATTTAACCTAAGTTTAATGTAATCTTTAGAAACAAACTACCCGAAATGAAAAATTATGAAAACTGGTTATTCTGCCGAAGTTTGGTTATACATTCTCAATTGTAACTTTTTAGGGAAACACAAATGCTGTGTGTTACTCATTTATCCAAAAATGTTACTCTGAAATTAGGTGCTGCACTTGCAATACATCTAACTCTTGAAAGTGTTGTCAAAGAATATTCCAGGAAAGATTAAAAAAAATTGCTGCGTGCGGTTGCTTATAAAAATTTCGAAATTTATTTTTTTTTACTAGTAGTAGTAGTCGAAGAAAATATAAAAAAAATATAGCAAAAATCCAACAAGTTTCTCTTGTAAAACGCCTTAAACTTATTGGCGAGTTTTCTTTCTCCTATTCGTATACTCTTGTATACATGTGAATCAACAATAAAATAATGTTTGAGATACCTCTATTAGTGATACATTTCTGTACTCTTTGAATTTTGAATGTTCACCGTCTTCAAGCTTTTGAAAATACTTTGTGGACATGCGCAAATCTTATAACATCGTCATCGAATACTGGGTAATTACGTCGAAACTAAAGTGTATGTTTTGTGCAGCGTACAAACATAACTCCTTAAAAACACGACCGAAAAGCACTTAAATGATATTTACATACATAGATTATATATTTGAAACAAATAAAATTTTCATTAATTTTTCAAACATACGATGAGATCCGAGATTTGCGATAAGATTTTTAATATTTATTTTATTTTATTTAACGCTCAAATGAGAGTACCAAATATATTTTGACGAAAAACAAAATCCTATGGAGAATTTTGAAATTAAAATTAAAGATTTAATAATAAATATCATTAAGTATTTACACCCTGTTTTAATATATAAAGCTATTTTTAAATAGAAAACTTTTACGAATATTCAAATGATCTTTTCTCTTTGAAATTTTTTATGTGGAAGAGATTTGGGAGTCTTCAAAATGCAAGATCAAGGTCCGTTTTCCTATTTGGTTATCTTTTCTAGTAGATGTAGTAGAAGAATCTTATCTTAATACGTAGATACAAAAAAAATGAGAATATCAAAGTTTTGCCTAATATATTTAATAGAAATTAGTAGGATTGTGGTTCAATCAATAAATTGCAATCACATTTCACAACGTGAAAACTGAAGCATATTTCATTGCAGACAGATCGTATTTATAGAACTAATAAAACAAATTTTGCTTGATTTTGCATAATAATAAAAACGTGAACATTCTAAACGGATTGTGTATATTTTGATTACAACAAATGAATGTGTTACTACCAACAATAAGTTGTACATTTAATGATGCAAAATGATATTGAAACTCAGTGATTTCATTAGCTGCACATTTTTATAGCAATTGTAAAATGGAAATTCTCCGCACGAATTAAATGTTTGTGAAATGTTTTCTTATGGGCGGAAAACAATTATGAACCAAGAAAATGAAAATCTTAAAAATAAATACCCCTATAAAGATAACAATAGTACCCGTAATACGTTTAAGAAATGTGAATACATAGAAGCACGATTTACAAATGTGTCACCATTAACTTGTCCAGCATCAGTACCGCTTGAAACAGAAAAATCCCCAACATTAGCGAGCATTATCCAACCGCAGAACCCATACTCTTCAATCAACTATAACAATAGCGAAAGTCAACCTTATAATTATAGTCGCATGAAAATGTCACCTCAAACTGGTTTTAATACAACAACACCCGATAATTTAAGAGAATTTCAAGAATTTTTGCAACGTATACAAACACTAAAAATGTCTTCCTCAAATACTCAAGCTGCTTATAAAATCACAGATTCAAAAGAAAATAACTCTTCAAATGTAAGTGAAGAAATGAGAAAAGCAAATGAACTTAAAATAACTGCCCCAATATTCGGTATTGAGGTAGGTGTTGAACCCACTGCTTCAATGGATTTTGATGATGTCGATAGCGAAAGGCCTGAAACGATCATATGTCCTTCACAAGGGGAACAGGCCCCAAGTACCATATCTTCTATTAGTAATAAAAATAACTCGGAAGACAATATTCGGGTTACCGTTGGAATAGACAAAGACTTAGAAATGATATTAGAAATGGATCCAAGCATAGTCGACTTGGGAGATATTGCAGTCACAGAACCGGTGGAACCAAGAGTAATTGGTCTACCGCCATCAACCGGCGGGTGGGTAAAATATATAAAGAGATCTGCAGTATTTAGAATGCATTCAAACTGCCTACTTAAATATCTCAAAAATATAAATATTTTAGTATTTATGTACTCATAGTGAATATATATAATAAATTATTTAGTAATTAAAAATTAGTTTAAGCCACTTATAAATATTGTTTTTGCAATTTAAATTTTTTTGCTTTGTATGTGTTGCTCGATCTTCTAAGTATAATTTTTTTCAAAACTGATTGTAAACTATGAATTTCATATTTCAGTCCTACTTTCAAAACCACTGTCCCAAAATCACGCACACAGCTCAAACAACAATTACAGCGTGAGCAGCAACAACAAGAGTTGGAGCGACGGGAAGCAGAAAAACGAGCTGCTGCGGAAAATGCTGCTTTACAACAGCAGGTTGAATCTTATATAAATCAGCAAGTTCCAAATTCACACCATAGTCATCAATTCCATAGTCAACATTTAATGGGTAATAATGGGGGTTATAGGTCTAATAGCTTCGGGAATAATTTCAACGAAGTGCAAATAAATCAGCAAAACTATCTCACCCATGTACCGTCATCAACATCATCCGGTGCAAGCTCTAGCTCGGCTTCGTTAAAAGGACCACTTCAAAGTATTGGTGTAGATGTACCAAAACAAGTTTTACAGGTTGGTACATATTAATCTTAATAAACACAGCCTAATATTCTGAATATATCTTATCGAAAGAAAGTGGTGGGGTCGTTATAATTCAGAAATGACTAGATTAGTTAAGCTTTAAGCTTCAGTCATTGTACGAGTATTGCATGGCAATAGAAACACATATTTTGTATTCGTCATGTGTTCTCTTATCAGAACATATTAGAACTAGTTTCGTCTTCTCACATCAAATTAGAAATCTTTTTTAATTGTTTTTCCCGGCAACATTACCGGTATATGCTCACACACACATAAACATTTTTTATAGGTTTATTCGATTTCCATAGTCCTAGTATGGGTAACCAAATTTGATATCTAAATGGTTCGGTTGTAGAGTTACTATTAGTTATAATTCTCTAATCAACAGATTTCGAAAAATTTCTTATATAAAAATACAAACTTAAGCCATTTTTAATATAACTCAGAGCTTAGATGTAGCCGAGTTGATACCAGTGTAAAGAGACATGCATACTAAAGTAGGATCGAAATCGAGTTATTAAAGAAAAATTATATTGGTAAGGTGTGTATTCATTTACCTGCCTAGTTTTTAATTTTTATACTTACTACTAACTTAGCTATTGTAACATAGATATATATTTTTCTAATAATATTTTAATAATCTCAAGGTCCGAACGGTATTGGAAAATCCCACACGTTATCATGTCATCCAAAAGCAGAAAAACCAAGTTCGTCAGTATCTAAGCGAATCTTTTAAAAATGAATGGGAGGTAAGATCTGAAAAATTATAGCAAGAAATTATTTTTGAATTGAATTCAATTATTGCAGAATAAAAATATACCAAACCAAGCAACAGTACCGAATATAAGCGGGGAATCCAAGCAGACTTGTAATTTTCCAAGTATTTCTAATATCGAAGGCATCAATGGAGGGGGAGAATCGAATATAGAACATTCACCACAATTACGACTTACTTCGAGTGCTGCAACTTCTATTCTAGATGATCCTATGCAATTGTCCCCTTCCCCTTATGGTGCGGATAGTGCAAGCAATAACCTCGCCAATGCAGGAAACTGTACGTTTTTTCTACCGAACGACCAAAGCTCAGTTAAAAGCTTTGGAACTGACAGCGCCTATAAAAACTCTGCTGGTTGTAACTCCTCAAGTCTAACAGGTGGAAGAGGTTGTGTTGTTAGTGGATTAAATGCTTTGTCTCATGGCGGACGTTCATCTGGACCACTTAATTCACTTAGGAATGCTAATTGCTCCAATTTATCTACAGCTAGTCCTGTACAATCAGCACCAATGTCACCTTTGAGTTCTGTGGCAACAAGCGCATCTGAAGTAAGTAGCTTTATAATATTGTAAAAATTTCATAAAAAATATCAACTGTCGAAATTGAACGCTTTCAATAAGTTGTAAACATTGCTAGAAGTGCAGACTTGCAGATTTTTTTTATAAATAAAGAATTGTGATTTTATTCTGGTGAAAATAAGAAGAACTATTACACTTTAACAGCTGAAGCGACTTTCGGCCGAGCTCCTCCATCACTTTGTGGTTTCTCGTCTTGATGTTTTTCGAACAAATGAAGAGACCTACAGTTTATACTAAGCCGCCTCCGAACCGCTGATGGTTTTTTTATGAGTAGCTTTATTTCATGTCAGAAATACACTCGGAGGGGTTAACATTAACTGCCGAGGGGTGACCGCAATTAGAAAAATTAGCTTTAAATTAACGAAACCAGGATTTGAACCCGGGCCTAGCAGCCGTTCAAAGGCGGTTGGAAACAGAACAAGACGTATTTCAATTGATTGTTTGATATTCAAGCATTTTTCTTGTCATTCACAATCACCAAACTCACGATTTTTTTTGACTAATCTCATCGTTGCATTTTAATATCATCCCATTGACGAGTTCAGCTGTTGTAGGAGTTCAGCCTAGCTGTTTTAATTGCAGTATGTGAAAGGGGTAAGAGAGCTGCCCATGTGTATATAAAAAATATTGAACAGTTTTGCTGGCTTTTGAATGAATGCTGAATATTACCTAATGCATCATGAGCAACTGCCAAAATTAATATGTGTTATATATTTCTAGTTATAAATGAAAATTTCACAACAAATATGGTTTCACCAATTAAAAACTAAATTAGATTTGAATTAACTTTTTTTAAATAACCCATAAAGTAATGTGTAGAGATAAGGTTTGAAAGCAAACTCATGCAAGTGCTCTATGCCCTAAGACCTTACTGAGTAACTAATAAGTCCAAATATAGAAGCTTCACCTTCCATCAGCTAGGTAAAGAAGAATCTGCATATTACAGAGCCAGATTAGAGCAGAACGAAATGCCGGAGCATTATATATTTCTAGCTTTACGAATTCCTCGCCTTTAACCTATTCAGGCGTCAACTTTTCCACTCTTTTAAATAAAACAATTCATGAAATCATGCGTTCGATAAGTAGGGGAGCTACTACTCATGAAGACTACCTTTCGAAAAAATCCTGTTGCAATTTATTTAAAATGTGATAAAACGATAGCTTCCATCGTAGATTTACGTGAACACTACTAATTCTTCCGGAAAGTCGGCATTGATCTATCCAAAACAAATCGAACTTATAGCTCATTTGAAATTATTTTCATTTCTGCCAGTATAGCAGCTACTAATCTTATTCAGAAAAATATTTATATAGTTGAATTTTGTTAAATTTTTGTATGATTCCATTTCATTCATATTATATTGCTGCAATATGCAAATACAAAGTTTCTTAAGCACCTAAATGCAAATATGTATACAGGTTAACAGCATAATAAGAATATTATAGAAATCTATTTGGAAATTATTCTTTACAATCACCATATCTAAATTAAAAAACATAAAAAAGCCACATCAAGGTTTAGCCGAGCCTGCTAGTATTTATTAATAAATTATGTTATATTAATACACTATTCATTATAATTGTATAATCCTATGTATTGTAAGATAATTTAGGAATCAATTCGCGCTAGTTATATACACCTGGCAAGAAAAAAAAAACAAAACAATTTGGACTTTTTATCAGCCACAAAATATTGTTCCAAGTCGATATATTTTATTTAAGACGATATTACGAGTATATCTAAATTTTGGTTCTTGTAATATTCTGCTCAAATGAACATATTTATTTGAAAAGATAATTGCATTAAGATCTCCTAATTTCTTTTTCCAATTTCCTTTCTATCAAAAGACTTTGATTCTAGTAAACAGACGAATGAAAATATGTAATTTATTAACAATGTTAACATTATAACCTCTTATTACTTTTTGCCAGTTTTTGAAGCTTGTTTAGTAGATATCTGCATACATATATGTGTACATATTGAAAATAACTACAATGATAAATTAATCACTCTTAAATAAGAGTGATAACGGCAACGATTTCTTTACAGAAGGATTATAGTTTGACTGATTTCTTTCGCAATTATACAACTCTAAAAGAAGCGTAACATTGTACAGAATAAAAAGTGTAGATACATAAATATTTCTATAAATGAGTGTACGCATGTACGCATTTACGAGTATGTAAAGAAGTAAGTAAATAGTATTACGTTCCATTTTGCCCTGTTACATTCCATGAATGTGTCTGTATATATGTACATATGTGTGAACTTTGGATACACGTTTAAGCTCATGTTCGTCCAATATTTTTAACTGGAGCGATGCCTGTAGTATGTCTATAATTAGTTTTATTAAAAAAGCAGTCGGAGGTATTGCCATTTTAGAGCCGAGGGACTGTCCCATTATCCGGTTAGGACTTCAACCCGTTACCCTCTGACTTGCATAACCTACTGCGGGAAACGGTCGTTACCCGCAACTCAAAACTATCGCCTCCCATGAGTAGAAATGGAGTTGCACTTCAATACGAGATTTTCATATAATATTTAGCATATAAAATAAGTAAAGAAATTTGTATATTTGCTTTTTTCACTACAGCAGCAACAGATGCAACCTATGACAGCCTATGACCCTGTCAAAATGTTGGCGTAGGTGGCAGTACTTTGCTAGAGAAATACCCTCGCTGGTTATTTTTGAATATTTCGCCAATGGTTCGACTGCTCCAGCGGAAAAAAATTCGGAGTCATGCCACGTGATGCGGACAACATAAATATGAATATAGATCGGAGGGAAAAATTCGACATGTAGGCAAATAAAATAGCCCGATGTTTTCACGCACTTATATAGTTTGAGTTGTGCTCGGCAGTATTTCCTGATTTTCAATTTAGAAAATATTGAAGGTTATTGACGTATACATTTAAATTAAATCAAATTTAATTTTTAAATAGTCAAAGCAATATTCTTACAATACGAATAAATCCATACAGTGCTTTTATGTTTCGAAGTATACTTGTAATAAATTAGGAGTGCCGATCTGACGCTGTTGTGCCTTTAGATTCAATTAGAGTAAAATATGAAATAAAATATGAAATAATTTATTATGTTTTTGATCTAGCTCAAAAGTTGTGAACGAATATTAACTACTATGGATGCAAAAACATGGTCAAATTAAAAACAACCTTCAGTCTCAGTATCAACATACCAAATTTTGTCGATGATCTGTGACACCCTTACCGGAAGTAAAAACTTATCAACGTGCTGAATTTCTTGCAAATCGAGCTTGCTCCCTGGTTTTTTGTGGAACTTTTTCGTCTAGACAAAAATATACTTTCGAACAAAAATTAAAAAAAACGAACCAATAAAATTTCAAGATATAGTGGTATTCGTGGTATAGGTCCCAGGTCTACTTCCCTCTTTCTTCCGGGATAAAATAAGATTTTTTGAGATCAGTCCCAAGTCCACTCCCCGAAAGAAAAAGAGCGGGCGTTTTTTATTTAAATTTAGGTGTACTTCGGGATTATATTTTACAGACAGGTGGCAACTCTTTCAAGAATATTAAAACTTCACAGAAACACTTTCCGCGATTTCAATGAAACTATCTTGAAAATTAAAAAGAAAAAATAGACGGCCATATGTACATACAAATTTACATTCGCACATGTGTATACTCGGTATACCGGTTATAGGCAGATTACATGCTTTGTTCTACAGATCAATTATTTAGCAAATAAAAAAAATAAAGTTATATTAGAAAAGCCTCTCTAAAAATACCGATTTTTGTTATTTCGGTATTAAAAACACTATCTACAGCTCTATACAAATACACCACTTAAACGAAACGAACTGAAAATTGAGACGAACGCTCGGCATGCTTCAAACCTTAAAGCTACCACAGCTACCACGATCGTTTAATAATGATGGGGATGCATAGCATTGCGCTCAACGAAAACGAACTTGATAACTTAGTAGGGATTTGTACTTTTAATAGACTATCATATTCTGGCTGTGGTGTCACTCAGTTTGTCGTGAGCTCGCGTTCGACTAGTAATTATATTGATTAATAGATGAAAAAATTTGAATTACTTAAAAAATCGACGTAATGGAAACAAAAACAATGCAAACAAGAAGTTTGAAAAGTATAAAAACTCTATAAAGTTTAGAGAAACCAACTGTGTTAAGCAACCCCATTACTTATAAATTAAAAAATGAATGTACATATATTTGACCGCCAAAAATTATATTGATACGCTTATTCGCATTTGCATTCCATGCAATAAAAAGTTATTGTCTATATGTATACATGTAAACATGTATACAAAAGCAAAGTAATAATTTATGTAAAGCAAATACTGGATACTACAATAAAGTCAATCAATTTAAAACTCTGCCAAAAAGCTGCAAAACGTAATTAGTATTATATCGTTGAACTCCAAATAATAAATAAGAATTTAAACATAAAACCGGTACTTAATTGCTTAAACAACACTCATTCAGCTCGGATCTCATTGCACAGCAGTATTTTACAATTTGCATCAAGTATTAAACAACACATTGGAAATATGCACTTGTTTGTGTATTGAAACAAGTGTGAAAAATTAAAATTAAACACTCACTTCTGTGTCAACAATAAATGTACAATCTTTTCACAAATAATTCCAATATACATGTACACACTTACATAAATTGAACGTACCGAAGTGTTACCAATAAACAGCAACAAGTAAATTAATTACAAAGAATCGCATTCTCAAATCTACAGGCAGAGAGCTTTTTAATAAAAGATATGTGTGTATATTCAAAACGCTGTTATAACTACTGGAACATATACATATAATCTTTAAAGTGAGTAAAGAAAAGTCCGTCAAACTGTCGAAAAAACGCAACAGAACTACCCCAATCCCAAAAAAAAGTCACAAAAGAGCCAAAATGCCGGTATTTAATGTAATAACGCGCCGAAAAACGAAGGTGAGTGTA